TGAGGAAGACTAGGAAAGGGATTATAATACTTAGATTAAAATACTCGATACTTGAGTTTAAATAAAAGTTAAGGGCAGCCAAGGGGTCCTAAGCCTGATCCTAGTAAGGATATGCAGGCAAAGGGCTTTCCTGGACATTCCTGGAGCTGGCTGGCTCTGCCATTCCACTGTGCTTGGATCTTTTACAGAGAACACTGTATGAGGAAACAGGAGACTATCAGACTGACTTTAAAGATTACAGGTCAGTACTTCAACCAGCCTGATTAGCATTGCTTAGAGCCAGCTGAAGAGAGAAAGATATACCATAACCAGCTCTGTACATATCAGTATATGAAAATAAGACTCAATGTTGCAGCAATTGTCCTGCATTCAAGGAGAGGTGCCCATGTAGTCTTCTACAGAGACCATTCACATTGAGAATTATTAATGAGACACCTCTACTTATTTGCATTATTTTCCTGTTGCCAATGTCCTTTTTTTTTTCTCATTTTGCTTAGCTCCTCATCCCACCAGGTGTATTCATTCTTTTTGACATATTGACATCATCAGCTTCAGTGTCTCTTTCTAGAATATCCTTAAATTTTTTTTGTAATGCTGGTTTGGTAGTCATGAATTTCTAGAGATGCTTCTTGTCATGAAAATACCCTATTTGTCTATCAACTTTAAAGGAAAATTTTGCCAAATACATAGGCTTGGAAGATGTTACCTTTTAGGGCTTGAAACACTTCATTCCAAGCCCTCCTGACCTTTAAAGTTTGTAGATATGTCTATTATTAATTTATCTCTTTATGAACTCATTTCATTTTCGAGAAGCGTTTAGAATTTTGTCCCTGTGATGGACTTCTGGAATTTTGAGTATAATGTAGCACACACTGGTTCTCCTTTAATCATGGCTATTGAGGTTACATATGCCCCACTTGTCTATATGTTTGTTTCTTTCCCTATATTTGGGGAGTTTTCTGCCATTATTATGTTGACATGTTTTTTATGCCATTTGTGTCATCTTCTGATGTTTCACTTAGTCCAGTTATTTTTAGATTAGTCTTCTTTACATAGTCTAGCAGTTTGGGGATCCATTTTTCATTTTCTCTCATTGGTTTTAAGGTGTCTTTGGGTATTTGGTCTTTGCAAGCATATTGTTTTCTAGATCGAAGATTCTGTCCTTGAATTGGCTAGTTCTATTGCCCATATTTTAAATATGATTTTTAATTCTTGGATTTCTGATTGAAACTTTCCTTCTCATTCTTTTATTGGGGGGGGGGGAGGTAGAGTCTTACTACATAGTGTAGACTGGCCTTGAACTCACTATATATCCCAGGACGACTTCAAACTCAGGGTGACCCTCCTGCCTTAGCCTCTTAAATTCTGGGATTGCAGGTGTGCACCACCATGCCAAGATGATTAAAGCCTTTTCATGGACTCTAATTCTTTGGTAAACTGATCATTCATGTTTTGTATTATTAGCTTACCTAGCTTTTTATTTGTGTCTTCTGAAAACTTCAATATCTATTTGATTATTATTATCTATTTAGTTAGTTCTTCTATAATCTCACTGAGTACTTCTGCAAACTGAATTTTAACCTCTTATGCTATCTTTTCAACTAATTTGGAGGTATACCATATGCTATTTTTCCCTTCAGTACTCTCTGAATTGGCTTCAGGGGAGTTGGGAGTTTGGGGAGGCATTTCTTGCCATTTCTGCTCATGTGTCTATTGTTTTGTGCTGAAGTTTGTAGATGTTGATAGTCTAAGGACTTTGTTACTTAGCTGCTTTTCAGTGATATACTTTGGGCATGGTTATCTGTAATCCTTTGCCGCAGTGCCAGGATCTGACCACCCTGGTCAATTTGAGAGGTGAGGATGCAGTGTACTTAGCATAGCATTGCAATTCTCTGGGAATGTACCGTAGTGTTTTCAATATCATTAAGGTAATCTGAATGTTGTCTTACAGAGACAGAAACAAGTATGCGATCCTGCTAATCTCAAGCGAAGCAGCTATTTTTGCCCAAGACAAGTTAGATGTTAACATATGATAAAAACCAATTACATGATACCCTTAATCTAGAAAAAAAGTAGATAATCATGATGTAAACATTAAGACAATCTAGATATTGACTTATAGCCAATAAGTACATCTTTGCTAATGGTGAAAAAAAATCAAGGGTAATTTTATAGAGCTAAGCATCAAAAGATTAACCAACATTTATAGTTATACTATTAAAGATAAATGACTTGGGAGTAGAGCGATGCAAGAGAAAAACTTTTAAAACTTTAAACTCTATAATACATGAAGAAGAAGGAGAGAAATAAAAGAGGAGAGAATAAGAGATCTTACTGGGGAGTAGAAAAGTGTCTATAGAATTAGATAAAGGTAACATTTAAAAAACTGGCAAGAAAGAGAAGATGAAAAAAGAGGGAGGAGAAAAGAAATTATATAGTTTTAAAAAACAGAGTTCTTTAGAGGAGAAAAATTAAGAGAAAGAAGAAAACAGAGAAGAGAAGAAAAGAAGAAAAAGTGATTAGAAGCAAGAAAGGAAGGAAAGGAGAGAAAAAAAGAACAAAACTAAACAAAAAATCTGAAAGCAATATTTACACTTTAAAAAAAAAAAAGAAAAAGACAAGAACAAATGAGCAAAACAAAAAAATAGAACTTCTTTGTGATTTCAAATGTGTGGTCATCTCCAGGAATACAGGTTTGGCTCAGTGTTTGGTCAATTGAAGTCCCTGTTCTCATGTTAGACAAAGCAGGCAGTCAGTGCCCAGGTCCATGCTGGGTATAGTCACTAGCATGCAGGCAATAGGCTGAGGGCAGGGATACCTATTCTGGGGTCTTCAAATTCACAGAGATTCAGGTTGAACCTGGATTCTGGCCATAGGAATGGGGCTTGGGATGTTTCGCTTAAAACACACTGTGTGTCTCTTGCCAGCCTGACCATGACTCTCTGACCTCGGATGTCTCCTATGGCTGACTCTCACCCAATCCCCTTGAGAGTTTAAAGCTGGAAGCTCTGAAATAAAACCAACCCACAGTCACTCTGAGCTTTGGGATTGGGGCTCAGTTCAGTTTTCTTCCTGGTATGGTATGAAAACCCTTTCCTCAGAGAACAGAGAAGATGCATAGATTAGAGTTAGTTACCAGCCATTGCAGCTCACAGCAGCCACCACTGAGTTTTTCCCTGAAGGTTTTTGGAGACCACAGCTTTCACCATATCTATTGTAGATTCGGCCCATTTTTCTCTCAATATAAAGAATGCCCCTTCCTTTTTCCACTTATGTTCCGTCTTTTCAATTTCTCTGCAGGCTGAAACTTTCCCATCAGATCCTTCCTGGGTCATGAGACTCCACCTACCTCTTCCTTCTCTTTCCAGGTTATTATTTTCCAGGGTCTGGATTCCAAATTCCAGAGAGGTTGATTTGTTGCTTCTTACCACTCTGCCATCTTCCCAGAAGTCCTCCTCCCTTCCATTGCTTTTCTGCGAGGCAGGGCCTGGGAGACCAGCCCAGCTTCCTAGAGCTCATAAATATGTTGACTACTCACAACTAACTGTGAGGTTTAGAAAATAATGTATTTTATAGCTGAGAAAAATGAAACTCAGAAAAATTAAAATGCAATTTTTTAAGTGATATAGGTATCTAGAAATAAATCTTAGGTCTTTTCTCTTCATCACAGTGGCTGGGACCACTTTATCTTTCTGGATACATGGGGCAAAGAAAGTCCCTTTTCTCAGAGTTTTTACCTGGAGCATCCTAAGGATATATATCTGGATGTTTTCCTTCTTTTTTCTCTAAAGGGCGGAGTCCTCAAGCGCGAAGCCCATGCATGACCTTTGAGGCCCACCAAAAGCCCTACCCCGAGAAAAACCTCACCTATCTCTGTTCACCAAAGAATCATCTTGGCTCAGCCATCCTCTTTTTTGTTTGATGGTAAAGAGTGGAACTCTCTTGTACATGTAGTGAATCACACAAGAAAAGATATATGTTGCACTGGGGCATTTTTTACTAGTCACTATTTTGTCAAAATCTATCTTCCACTAATCTATTTAGTAAAGACCTCCCTTCCTTGCCAACTTATCTCTGTCCAGCAATGTTTCAGATATGGAGTTTCTCCTTCCCTGCAATACTAGCTACTAGCAACCATTAAAGTATTAGGACAAAACCTTAGACAAGGTTAGATTACATTTATCAGAATAACCCAGGGATGTCAGGAAAAACCCACGAAATTACTCTTAGTGGAAAACAGTACTCTGGAGAATAGGCATGCATGGATTATACTCTGCCCTTGGGACCTCAGCAGCAGATCATGCTCCATGGGTGGTAGCAGGCTCTCAGTGTAATGCTCAGCCTCTCTTTGTGCCAGTCTTCAGCTTGGTGAGTCCCATGAAGCTCTGAACAAACATAGGGTCAAGTATGCAATTTCTATCTGACCCTAGACCCAGGGGTGTTGACTGCATCCGTCTGAGTGGAGTTTAGTTCTATGTATGTATAATAGTACCCAAAGTGATTCTGATTTAAGTAGTTCCCATTCTACAGTTTGCTACAACAATGTATTTAACAAAAATTGCACACAAGGCAGTGAGTATCATTCATGGGGGCCTTCATATTTGAGCCATGCCCAGTCTTGTCACGCTTTTGCAGATAAGAAACTTATCTCTGAGTTTACACTAGGACCATTGTATAGAGTCATAAGGCTTCTGGTCCACTCCAGAGTCACAGTGCATGATATACAAGGCCTTCTTTCGTTAAAGGTGAGAAAGTATTCATCTCCTCCCTACCACCTATTAGTTTGAATGATAGCATTTATTAGGTGCTTTCTTTCAGCTACTGTGTTGCATCATCATGCACCAGTTAATCTTTACGGTAACTCCTTCAGGCTGTTTCTCCACTAGAGGTGATAAACAGAGGCCCAAAGAAGCTCAGAAGTCTATCTAGCGAAGGGGAAAGCATGACTGAGTTGGGACACTGCCACACTGTCCAGTTCTAAGGATCTTCCACCCTCTTACCTCTGTACTGTGCTCTCTGACATCCAGATCACAGGCTCTGAGATTAGGGAGCAGGGGAACTGACTCCATCTTGTTTCTTTTTATCTGCAGATATTCTATTCCTCATCAACACTGCATTTCCATCCACTTTTCCTGGCTTGGACATGAAGGAGGTCTGCTGGGGAGGACAGGAGCCAGAACACTTATAGCAAAGTCAGATCGCCTACTTGTCCTTCATAAAGTATGCCCTTTGCCCTGAATGCCAGCCTGACCTGGGAGGAGCATAGGCAGCCCTTTGCCATGGCTAACCAGGGCAAGGTTCAGTTGAGCACAGTCTCAGATCACCTTGTGGATATGTTGGTTTGGGCAGAATCTGACACATGTCATCCTGTATTAGTACTGGCTCTGTGTCCAAGTTAAATAAAGAAAAGAGGGAACAGAAATGAAGACTCAGCAGTAAATCAGTAAATACAACAATAATTAGGAAATGGTGAAAACTCCCTTGGACTATCACACAGACTAACTCTTTGCTCTATAAAGTTAGTAAATTTATAAGCAGATCCAAGGAATTAATAACAACTTAGTAGTTTTTCTACCGAATTTAAGATAAAAAAAAAAGTTTAATTAGCCATACCTGTATTCTCATCTTCTTTCTGCCATCTACTTAAGCAAATTACTTGACCTCTGGGCCTCAGTTTCTCAACATTTAATTGTCTACAATCATATCTGTTTAAAAGAATAAGTTGTAAGGATTAGAAATCATGTATGCAAGGGAAACTCAGTGTGTGACAGCTAATATTATATCAACTCTAGAATTCATTTCCAAAGTTAATGAGATGTCTGAAGATGAATCTAATTGAATGAAAGGCAGAGACTTTCACAGGTCTTTATGATTTCAAAAATAATGATACTCTGTTTGGTGTATTCCTGCTCCTGTGAGCTCACAACACTGTATGTGAGTAGCAATGTTGCATATGTTCTGTTTGATATTTTAAAAAAATCCTGAAGCATAAGAGTAATATTTCTTCACCTTAAAAATGGTTATGTTAACAGTTAATAAATATATGTTTTATCTTACAATTTATAAAGAATTGACATGGGCAGCAGTCTTCAGAAATTAAATTCAGGGTTCATGCTTCCCGAACACACTAGAATTTGCCATTCATTTTTGAAATGCTCAATGAAAATACATATTCAATTAGTAGAACTGGATTTAATCTTCTCTCATATTTGATTATTAGAAAATTATATCCCAGAGATTAAAAACACTTTATTCACATCATATGGAAAGTCAGCAGGAGGATAGAATGTTTTTAAAAAGGAGACATAAGCATATACATAACAAATGACAATAGCCAGGAAGTCATAAAACGGCACAGGATCTGCTACTGGTTATCTGTGTAATTGGGTAAGTTAGCCTGACCAGTGTAAAGTTTATCCCATCCCAAAGTTCTGCCTTGAGAGTACAGCAGTAACTTTGTAATGTCACTGTCATGACTAGATAACAGATGTGCACCTGGGAATTGAATGCTCGTAGATACGAGCTTCCTGTACCTCATGCATTAACTTGACAAACGAGCACTTGGCAAAGTCTGATAACAGAAGCTCCCATGTCAGGAAGCCTCTCCTGCCCATAAACCAGGAACAGTGGGTACTTGGCAGGTATAGCCAAGCATGCAGGGCCTCTGCCTGGCTCCCCTAAAACAAAGTTGTTCCTAGAAGGGCTGCTGGGACTCTTTGGGTCTTGGTAAGGAGGTTAGTTCCCTCCTTAAATGGCTGCCAGCAATGGTGCCAGTGTGAGCTGAATGTTGTATTGGTTTGTCTGCTCTGGAGGACATGGATGGTGAGAGCTAATAGATACATGAATACTGAAGTTCATGCTTAATGTGAACACATGCTCGCCTAAGAACAAGGCTGGGGCCATTAGTTCCCAGCAGGAAGGCTAATGAATCCATGAAATGATCATAACACTCACTTGCTATGCTGCTCAGAACAACAAAGAGTTCTGAGTCCCATTAGCAAGTGTTGATGCCTCGTTCTTAGGCACTATTTGTATAACCACCCTCACAGGAGAACAGTTCCCAAAGGTGGGATTGGGATCCGTGTAATTCCAAGGAAGTAAGCATTTTCCTACTTTCTTCTTGTAGGCAAGGTAATTGTCTACCAAGGTTATGCTTCGTAATCGATTCCTGTATAACTATGCTGTAAAGCATACCCAAAGTCAACTCATTAGCAAAATTACCCTTTTCTAATCCAGACTATATCTGTGCCTCTCAATTTGGGCTTATTAACTAGCTCTGTGGGTTTGGCTCTGACTCCTTGGCTGGTAAAGCTCAAGTTTTGCCATGCCCCACTCAGCTTGTCCTGGCAAGAAAATATCTAGTTGTTTGTATTTTGCTTAGGTTTTAGGACTTTATAATTCAGTGCCTATATTTGAAGTAAAAATGGCAGATAATTGGCCATACTCTGGGCCACCTTGACCTCAGGAAAGACATAGCAAGCCTATCAACTTATTCTCTAGTGTTTTCTTTTTCCCCCGGTTTCTTTCCCATCCCTGGAAGGACATCCTCTGCCTTCTATCTGACCAATGATCCCTTTCATCTCGAGAAGCCAGCATGCGAGGTCCCCAGGGCACATTCTCCTCTTGAAGGGCTGTTGTATCAAAATTCTTCCATCCTCTGTGTTCCTGGGTAGAGAGTAAACCACTGTGTGTTCATTTCCTGTTACTGCTATCATGAAGGAAATGAATTGGTTTAAAACAATGCAAATTTACTACCCTACAGTTCTGGAGATCTCACTGGGCTAAAATCAAGGTGTCAGTAGATTTGCGTAGCTATAAAAAATCTATTTCCTTGCCTTCTCACTCAGCAGATTAGCAAATTTAGTTCCATCTAAAACCTTAATTCCCCTTTGCTAACATATTCACAGGCTCGGGGCCTGGTAGTTTGTGTACTACACACCATACCCTTTTTCCGTGAAGTAGGGTTGCTCTCTGCAACCACTGTGGAGAGCAGGCCAGGTCGAATGCGGACTTCAGCAGCCTTGTCCACTGCACTGTATCCTGATGGCCACTGATAAGCATTGAAGATCAGCCTTTCTTGGCAGCCTTCCCAGGCATGTGGTCTGAATCAGCTTCCAGGGATCCCAATGTCCTTTCCCTTTTGGCTGACATATGCTCTGTGTCCTCAGTGACCAGATCACGTTTAAATTTCACTTTGGAGGAAACATGGCTGAATAATGAAGACAGCTTAGTTTGCTTCAAGCAGAGTGTCAGCCCTAGGCCTAGCTCTGGCACGAAGGTTCTCCTGGAGTGATCAGATGAGGGAAGGCAGTGAGTCTTATACCAGTAATCGGAGTATTTAATTCTATGGCCAAAGCCCTGATCTAAAGATGGGCACAGGACCCCAGACACATATGTCAGTTATTGTGCTTATCATCAGATATTTCAGCTTCTTCTTATAGTCCCAGTCACCTAGCAGTGAGGAAAAGCCATATTGCTAGTTCCAGCTGATTCAAGGGGAGAGGGAGCACTGTTGGTCCCTTCTAAGCTGAAACAATGAAAAAACCCATGACAAATTCTCTGCTGCAGCAATAAAGAAAACACTAAGTTCTTGATTGTATAGCTTTAAAATGGTGGCATGTCTATCATCCCAGACCCTTAATAACCACTGACACACATTACATATACTCATGTAATATGATCAAAAACCAAACAGCACTGTTAACCTTGGATTTGCAATTGACCATTAGCCTAGCATAACTGGCCAATCCTGACAATTGTAGACTTCTTATTGAACTTCCAGTGTTCTCAGGAAAGATATCTCCCTCTTGCTCTGGCACCACAAGTAGGAAAGGTGTTTTGAGTATGGAAATTCCAGCAGCCATCTTGCCTCAAGGAGGAGAATGACTATCTGAAAATGAAGCATTTTAAAAGCAAGGCATGCCAAGAGATAAAGGCCAAGCGTCCTGTATTTGAGTCCTTGGATATATTTGGGAACAAAGGTTTATTGACCCTTTCTATCTCAAAACAATGTTAGAAAGACATTCCTGCTTTTGCTGATGCTAATTGGAAGTGTGTTTTTCCCTGTACAATGATAAAAATACTCACAAGCACAGCCCTTTCTTGTGAGTGACTCACATGACAATCTGGACATAACTTGTTTCTCCTTAGAGACTCCTCCCCAGAGAAAGCAAGACTGCATATCAGAGTGGGGCCCTCAGGCCAATTTGCTGCCCCTAGAGAGCATAATTCCTCTATATCATGTACCCATGTTCCCTACTAAAGTATAATTATATTCTCTTTTCCCATTTCCTGGGAAGTAAGGGTGTATTAACAGCCAGGTGCTCCTGTTTGATTAACTCAGAATTCTCCTGTTTGATGATAACCACCAAATCACAAAAGGCAAAAACTGCCAATGATTAAAAACTAAGCAAAGACAGTCTGAGTATAATGGCCTTGCCTTGCAGAGGTAATACAGAGAAAATAGCACTGCCTTTATTCTACAATAATACTCTCTCTAGGTTTTGATTTGCTTTCCTTCATTTCCCAAACACGAGTTTGGACTTTTGGGGAAAAATCCCAAGGGTTTTGTGGTTTTCCCTCTGGTAGAGATGATGAGTGTACATTGACTCACCCACAGTCTCTCTTTTGTTCCCTGTGTGAGCCAGAAAGGAGGCCTGCCAGAGACCTCTGCTTGGAAAGAGTCTGTGGTCATGGAATTGTACCAAGATGATGGTCCACCGAGGAGTCAAGCCACCAACATTGACCTCAGCTCCACGCGTTAACCAGCAATGCCAATCTGACCAGCTCCCTGGGCTGGGGTGAACGTCATTTTGATGTGACCGGAGCTGACCTTGCTCCCCACAAATCCTAACACATGGTTCCTCACAGCTCCCTGAACTGGCCAGAGCCTCCAAACTTAGAAATGGTCAGTGGTCTTGAGAGCAAACTCAGAATTTCTTCAACTTTGACCACTACTGTGAGTCAGTGGTTAAAATGGAATCTTCCCAAAGGGCCTTCAGGTACTAATTCAGGAATTCAGCAAGATCTAGAAGACTGATGGCACTTAACAGTGTAGAAAGTCAAATTCAAAGTCTCAAAATATTCCTGATTGCTTTTCTTTAGCAAGGGCATAGACATGCACATCTCTATGTAAGTATATATAGTTGACCTGAAAGTTATCATTAGATGAACTCAAGTTTCATTTTCTTAGGCTTCTGGTGAAGATCGTTGAGGAAGCTT